CCCTGTGGCTCGCGTGAGCCCCACCCAAAGGGGGTGCAGAAGTCTTTCATGTGTGGGAGGGGGGGGCTCAGGCTTCGGCATGGATACCGTGCTGGAGAAATTACTTGTAAAGGGCTCTGTAGTGTCCTGTGTCTACTATCCTACATTCGATCATGATTGAGCCGCACGTGGAAATTATCATAGGCACCGGCGCTTCCATTATATCTAACATAATTTTCTGGGCGTTTTACCAACTTTCCATTATTAGTTTGGTATTCTTTTCCTTCAAGTAGCAGAGTGGACATCAAGGGAAGATTAACATCAAATGAGAAGAGTGGGCGTGGGCAGGTTGAGTCGCTGCCCGGGATGATGGCCGGCGGTCGAGACTAACGATGGAATGGCAGTCAAAGGAGGGAACGCGCCCGAGAGAATCCCCGCCGAAAGTTTGATGGACGTGTTTGAGCTAACCATGGGCTGGGGGGAGGCGGTGAGCAGTGGGCTTGATTGGGGGGCGTCCACCGTCCCCACATCGTTGGCAACCGCCACTGCGGTGTGGACCTGCGTAGGGCGTTAGCATGGCACGCGTGTGGCCGTGTATTTAGTTTGATGGCGAGGTCTCGCCGCGGACAGCGGCGGAGGGACTGAGGACAATTTGTGTCTCGGAATAGAGCCCAGAAACCACGCGAGTGTCGTTTACCTGCACGTTTGACGAAAATGAGCAGGGAATCGACACAAATCAATTTAAATGCTTCCAAAACATCCAACGATCTTGAAACCTCGCAGCTGGATATCGTATAGTTCATGAAATGTAAATGGCCATTACCATGCAAATGGATGCGTTTAGAAGTCTCGAGACAGCTCCGTTCGCAGTCGGTCAACATTGCTGACTCACGAAAGTAAACGGAACGGTAACATTTCGTACTGTGTGGTCCTCAGTCACCCCGGCTGGTATTTACATGGATGATATTAATAATTCAATATTCTCAACGAACCATCCGCTCTGACATTTGATCCAGTTGAATTGGAGTATAACGAGACAGCGACGGTATGAGGCCGCCCACGTTTGCCACGCAGGGGTAACCAAACTTGCCTCTTTTTATTTTTCTAAGCAAGCATTGCAAACAACTCGGTGATACTGTAATTAAAAATGTTGTACCAGTGATATTTGTGAGTTGTCATTGGTAGCTGGCGTTCTATGACCAGGACATGTCGTTAAATCGACGTACGCACCGATAAATAGTCCATAAAGTAAGGATTCTCGGTTCTCTTTGTTCAGACAGTGAGGGAAGGTGAAACTCGTTGTTTGCGTTTCATTTCGGCGAAAAATTAAGTTGAGCTAATGGGGCTGACAGACGTTAGTTGCTATTTATCTGAACAAATACCTTTCGTGGCTTTTCGTATCCGGCGACGAACGATGATTTTGTTTTTAAAGTTTTAGCCTACAGCGTGAACACTTTTTAAGAAAGAAGTCCCGATTGTTGTAATGACCTGAATGTGCTTTTACTTCCCGTAAACTTGAGAGGATTACACAGATCGCTGACATGTCACCGCACGCTCTTTAAAAAGGAGAGACTGTCGCACGTACATTTCAGAGACGAGAATTTCACATTTATTTACGGATGCCCGTTGATTCCTAACGGCCATCTCACTTTATTCTCAACGAGCGATTGAGTACTGTGAAGGCGATGGCTTCGTGCGTCACGGAAGGGCGTGCTAAAAGATTCAAGTCCGTTGAGACCGGTGGGAGACGTGGAGAGGCCTTGAAATATAAAAAGAAGATTTCTCACATATTTCTTTACAGGAGTATCTATACATGGATCGACTTGTATTTATATTTTTAAAAAGACGTTTAATATTACATGAAATTTCAGGATAAGAAGAAGAAAAAATGTGCAGCCTGCACAGGGTTACACGGCCGACAGTGGCCACAGTGGTGCTATGGAGAGAGCGCTGCTGCGGTGAGGGATGGCATGGTGGGGAGAGTCGAGGGCCTGCAGCATGAGTGGCATCAATCGCTGCCGCCACTCAGATTTCACAATGAACAATGATTTCGGATTGTCCGGATTGAAGGGGAGTGAAAGGCCACGAAAAAGCACAGACAGTACAAGTTGGGAACTCCCGCACTGCTTTTACCGATCGTGATGGAACACAGCCAAATCGGCGTAAGATGAACCAATAAAAATCCCACCGTTCATCTGGGATCCACGTGGGAAGTGGCTGCCTCTCAAAGAAGGGCATCGTGCCTTCTAGCAGGCCACGACACACCCGAGGAGAGGCGTTGCGCCATGTTGCGCTTCCCTTTCGCGGCAACGAGCATCATGCAATCCGGGAGAGACTGGCTGCCTTGCGCACCCTGTCCTGCCAGGCGCGACCCTCACCGCAACGGTGCCGCGTACCGCAGAGACGCAGGGCGCCGCCCCTCCGCGCCCCTCCCTTTACAGCTCGCGTAGCCAGACGCAAAGTAGAACGTTAATTTGAATCTGACATCGGTGTAACGCTGACCACCGTCCCCCCACCGGCACACGCATTTTGCCTCGGTGTCAATTGCATAGCATCCGCTGTGATCGCTACTTGGCGTGTCGTTGAAGGACAGCGGGAATTGATCCTCAGGAGGACCTTATGGGCGCACACACAATTAAATGTAAGTGGGGGCACTTAATATCATCTGTACGCACGCGTCGTTGTCCACGCGCAGATGAAGGTCCGAATGCCTGCACAGACGCGTCGCTTAAGACCCCTCAACTAATTAGCTTCCACGGTTGCCCGCGAGCGTCCGTCGAGACGCAAGGGTGGCAGAGGCCCAGGGTGTCGCACGTGGAGCAAGTGCAGTCTTGTTCTCCTACAATGCGTTCCTGGAAAACTCCACGTTATGAAAAAAAACGCGTTGTAATGAATAATATATAATATAGGGTCAAGCCCAGTCGGCGATAACACGTGAGATGCGTACGCAGGCTGAACAAAGACTGCGGCGTGTGGGTAGCATCAAGAAGCATCCAGCAGCATCCCAATGCCTCGTGCGATGCTACTCCGAGGCAGCCGTACAACTGCTTATTCCGACCTCGCGCGACATAGTTCCGTTCACTCAATCGCGTTTTATCCAATTTGCATCCGCTTTGTAAAAAATGCATTCCCTGATACATTAATCGCATTATATCCAATTCGCGTTATGGAAACAATATGCAGCATTATAGGAGAACAGACTATGTATGTTGTTGAACTTCTTTCGCGCCGTACGTAACCACACCGTGCGGGGTTGAATAGCGAGTGTCGTGCAGCTCGGCTGCCGTTTCTTCCCAGAGTCAGATGGCCTTGCCAGCGAGTCGTGCCAGTGTTGGATGGATGATGCTCGTAGCATTGGGTTGCTTATTGGCATTTTTGCGTGTTTTTTTTGCGTGTGTTAAGTTGGTTGTCCTTCCCTCCACACCTGATTAGCACGGTTGGGCTACGTACGCTCCATGAGGAGGCTATACACTGCTGATGGGACGTAGTGAAAATTAAACCGGGGTGAAGGTTACCATTAAGACATTCCGATCTGAAAAATTAGAGGTAATGATTCGCCCCCTGGGTGACTCCCATGAATGTCGTGATTAAGGATTTGAGATAGGATTCAAGTATTTGGTCTCTCTTTTTTATATTTGTTGCAAATGTAGCGGCCCATAGTGGCTACCGGGGTCACAAAAAACCCATTACGTAGAGCGTGTGCAAATTGAAAAGCATCGATTGTTCACCACGCGATTGTGATGCTTTTATGAAGAGCTTAAAAAAATCAATATTAATTAATTGATGCGTTTTTACACCCCCACCTCCCTCCCTGCTGGAAAAAAAACGATAGTGCGCCCACAATCCACCAAGCCAGCGAATGTTTATCCTGTGAGATAATACAGCGGATTATTTGTAACTTTCGGCAAATAGGCGAGGCATTTTTCACATTGAATCGAGCGCGCATTCGGAGGGTAATGTCGGCAAGTGAGGCTGGGAGCAGAGTGATTTTCAATCTCAGCTGGTCACGCAGGCTCGGCTGCATGCTAACACCGGCCGCTGAGGTGCAATCCACTTAAAGATAACAGCAACAACAAAATCCGAAGGCATCTTGACACCTACCCTGATTTAATGTTTGCAGCTGAGCTGACGCTGCAGCATTCGGGCCCATTGCGTCAGCAGAATTAGCTTTTCTCATTATTTTGTAGGGTGGGAGAAGTATAACGCACGTAGAGCCAAGACAATAGAAAGTTTGTGTCCATGTGGTTATTATATAAATTGCCCCAAGGTGTTACAGCAACCATCGTAAAAAAAAAAAACTGTATCGGTATCCTCGGTATGTTTTCACCGTGGATGTGATGCAGGTGCATTGCTTTCGAGAGAGTGAGCGTAACCTGGGACCTACGGCTGTGAGGTTGTAGGTCTATGTTCATGTTCAATTCCTGATACCTGGAAATTCCTGTTGAGTTATTTTACCAACAGACAGCCTACAATGTCGCCTTCACATGTCCATCTCTTCACAACAAATATTTTTTACACAACCCAATATACCGCACTGTGTTCTGGAAGTGCGTCATTCAGCAGCATTGCTTCAAGACAAGTAAAACTAGAATGGTGTCGACATTTAGTTTCTCGTCAGCAGAAGGCTGTGCTGTAAATGGTTGTACTGTAAATATGTGCGAACACATTTACAGGACAGTATTCCTAATTTTTTAATCTGTTTACAGAACTTCCATAATTATGCCGTAGTTTGATAATTGCCGCATTGTGTTGTGCGTCGCGAGGTCGGATCGTTTGTGACACCACCCTGTCGTAGCCGCCGCCGCCCCCATCTTGCAAATAATGTCATGGGATATTTGTGGTGGTAATTTGGTAATTTTGCACGGAGATCACTTGATGAACGGCTGTGCAAATCAAACCACCGCCTCTGTGTGGGCCGATTTATTTATTTATTTGGACGGTATGTTCATGTCCGGTTGAGCTCCACGGTTGCCGGTTAGGCGCGTCAAGTAGCCGGATGCTTGCGTCCCGTGTGCCGACAGATTCCCCCGAGCCGCGCACGGGCCGACGACTCGTGGTGCCAGGCGGCGCCATGACGGAGAACGGAAACCCCGACGACACGCCCACCTCCTCCAAGGTGAGCTCCCTCCCCGTCTACCGGCTGCTGGAGAATTGCTCCGCCCGCAAACCGTCACGTTGAAGCGTCTCCTTCGCACGTTGTGCCTCGCTACTTTTGGGTCGTTTCCGTCACTCCTCGCGGTGTCTCCGCCACTTGCTCCGTCCGCCGCTGTGCCCGTCAGCTTATACGGCTTCCATCCCCTCCATTGCTTTGCTGTTTGGTGTCCAGTGTTTGGAGATTGAGGTCCAGTCAGATCGCGGTGTTGTTCTTCCCCGAGCTCCTCCCGGTGTTCCCTCCATCACTGTCCTCCGCATCCAGGCACCATTCACCCCCCGGTCATGCGTCCGGCATCTTGCAGCCTCCTGCGCGTGGCATCACTCAGCAGCCTCGAATCTTTATCTCTCGCCGCGTCTTCAAAGGCATCCTTGTTAGTTGCTATATTGCTCTTTATAAAAAAAAGATTTTATATAGAAGGCAGTGATTCTCCTGTATTCTTCTTATTCTTTTTCTAGAATAGACTCTTAATGAAAAAAGGAAGGGGAGCATTGAGCTACCCGACCATGTGTTTGTTGGCTTAAATATCAAATGGGCAAGAACACGTGGTCACAATGTATCCTCTTCTTTGCTTTCCATGGCAAGGAGGAACTAGGTAAATGATGGCATCTGGGTGCATACGGAGAGACGGCAGAATCACGTGATTTGAGTGGGTGGGGGCAGCCCAGCACCATTACCATGGGAATAGTGGGGGTATATTAATGGTAATGGGCCTGCACTGAAACAATCAGCGTCTAGTTTCACTTCGCACTGACTGTAGCCTTGTCAGTGCGGAGGTAATCCGTGCATCGGCACTTCAGACCCGGTAGTAATCTTCAAAATTGCCAAACAGTTTAAGGACCGTCTTCATTGTGTCAAGAAGTGCTGTTTGACAAGAAACAAACGCCCAGCTTCCTTATTTTTGGTTACAGATATGATGACATAATGGGAGCTTCCATGTTACAAGAGACAATGGGTTTGCAACTTGTGGACACAGACTCTGAAGTAACTGGTCCATACGGTTTAATTGCTTTATTTTTCGATTTAAAGCTTTCGTGACTGCAGGGATTCATCTTCTCGGTTCTTTCGGTAAAGTCACGTAGAAGGGAAGTAATAAAATAATAAAAATAAAACATAATAAAATAATTCTCACGACGTTTCGGCCACAACGCAAGCAGCCGACCTCAGGTGAAACCAGGTCTGTCGAGGCGACAGCGTCTGAAGGAAACAGCACACGTGCTTGGAGCATATATATAAGCTGGGTTGGAAGGGGGGGGGGGGGAAGGGCGTCTTGACAAAAGAATGTGCATATCAAGAGGAATTTAGTATATTTATGGGAAATGCAGGTATGTGATTAGTACTACTTATGTCCGTGCATTATGCAGGATTAGCAGCATCCAAGGGAGGGGATATGGGAAATGCAGGTTTGTGAATTAGTGCTACTTTGCCCGTGCATTATGCAGGATTAGCAGCATCACATGTCGTTTGGTTTCTCGAATGTAACTGCTACCACAGAGGCAACTTAGTTTGTAGACGCCAGGGTACAGACGGGACCAGATCACGGATTTTATGTACTGTGTTGAATCGGACCTGGATCTTGTGTTTTATCAGGAGTTTATACTTTAGTTGTTTACGTGGTGGTTTTAGTTACTGCAGCTACATACTATTAACACTCCTTCCCTTTATTAATGCTATCCCTATCCCCTCCCTGTGATGCTGCTAATCCTGCATAATGCACGGGCAAAGAAGCACTAATTCACATACCTGCATTTCCCATATCCCCTCCCTTGGATGCTGCTAATCCTGCATAATGCACGGACATAAGTAGTACTAATCACATACCTGCATTTCCCATAAATATGATAAATTTTTCTGATATGCAAATTCTTTTGTCAAGACGCCCTTTTCGCCCCCCCCCTTACAACCCAGCTTATATATATGCTCCAAGCACGTGTGCTGTTTCATTCAGACGCTGTCGCCTCGACAGACCTGGTTTCACCTGAGGACGGCTGCTTGCGTTGTGGCCGAAACGTCGTGAGAATTATTTTATTATGTTTTATTTTTATTATTTTATTACTTCCCTTCTACGTGACTTTACCGAAAGAACCAATAAGATGCTTTATTTTTGTTTGGTCGTTTCAAACGTCAGGTGAAAATGAAGTAGGTGGCGGCGTGGGAGGACGCTGCAAAGGGAAACGTCGCTAAAAAGATGAGAATCGATGGTTGCTTGAACGGGCGCGTTTTGTCGCGTGCGTCGGTGAAGTTGAACGCGGTTATTGATCATTATCGTGCGCCGAGCCGAGTGCCAGCCGCCTCATCGGCAGCACGGAGAGAGGACCCTGAGTCCACCGGTGAACCTGGCCACGGGGGGGGGAGAGGGTCCTGAGTCCACCAGTGAGCCTGGCCACGGGGGGGGGGGAGAGGACCCTGAGTCCACCAGTGAGCCTGGCCACGGGGGGGGGGAGAGGACCCTGAGTCCACCGGTGAGCCTGGCCACGGGGGGGGAGAGGGTCCTGAGTCCACCAGTGAGCCTGGCCACGGGGGGGGGGGGGAGAGGGTCCTGAGTCCACCGGTAAGCCTGGCCACGGGGGGGGGGAGAGGACCCTGAGTCCACCGGTGAGCCTGGCCACGGGGGGGGAGAGGGTCCTGAGTCCACCGGTGAGCCTGGCCACGGGGGGGGAGAGGGCCCTGAGTCCACCGGTGAGCCTGGCCACGGGGGGGGAGAGGACCCTGAGTCCACCGGTGAACCTGGCCACGGGGGGGGAGAGGGTCCTGAGTCCACCGGTGAGCCTGGCCACGGGGGGGGAGAGGACCCTGAGTCCACCGGTGAGCCTGGCCACTGGGGGGGAGAGGGTCCTGAGTCCACCGGTGAGCGGGGGGGGAGAGGACCCTGAGTCCACCGGTGAGCCTGGCCACGGGGGGGGAGAGGGCCCTGAGTCCACCGGTGAGCCTGGCCACGGGGGGGGAGAGGACCCTGAGTCCACCGGTGAGCCTGGCCACTGGGGGGGAGAGGGTCCTGAGTCCACCGGTGAGCCTGGCCACAGGGGGGGGAGAGGACCCTGAGTCCACCGGTGAGCCTGGCCACAGGGGGGGAGAGGGCCCTGAGTCCACCAGTGAGCCTGGCCACGGGGGGGGAGAGGACCCTGAGTCCACCAGTGAGCCTGGCCACGGGGGGGGAGAGGACCCTGAGTCCACCGGTGAGCCTGGCCACAGGGGGGGGAGAGGACCCTGAGTCCACCGGTGAGCCTGGCCACGGGGGGGGAGAGGACCCTGAGTCCACCAGTGAGCCTGGCCACAGGGGGGGGAGAGGGTCCTGAGTCCACCGGTGAGCCTGGCCACAGGGGGGGAGAGGACCCTGAGTCCACCAGTGAGCCTGGCCACAGGGGGGGGAGAGGACCCTGAGTCCACCGGTGAGCCTGGCCACTGGGGGGGAGAGGGTCCTGAGTCCACCGGTGAGCGGGGGGGGAGAGGACCCTGAGTCCACCGGTGAGCCGGGCCACGGGGGGGGAGAGGGCCCTGAGTCCACCGGTGAGCCTGGCCACGGGGGGGGAGAGGACCCTGAGTCCACCGGTGAGCCTGGCCACTGGGGGGGAGAGGGCCCTGAGTCCACCGGTGAGCCTGGCCACAGGGGGGGGAGAGGACCCTGAGTCCACCGGTGAGCCTGGCCACAGGGGGGGAGAGGGCCCTGAGTCCACCAGTGAGCCTGGCCACGGGGGGGGAGAGGACCCTGAGTCCACCAGTGAGCCTGGCCACGGGGGGGGAGAGGACCCTGAGTCCACCGGTGAGCCTGGCCACAGGGGGGGGAGAGGACCCTGAGTCCACCGGTGAGCCTGGCCACGGGGGGGGAGAGGACCCTGAGTCCACCAGTGAGCCTGGCCACAGGGGGGGGAGAGGGTCCTGAGTCCACCGGTGAGCCTGGCCACAGGGGGGGAGAGGACCCTGAGTCCACCAGTGAGCCTGGCCACAGGGGGGGGAGAGGACCCTGAGTCCACCGGTGAGCCTGGCCACGGGGGGGGAGAGGGCCCTGAGTCCACCAGTGAGCCTGGCCACGGGGGGGGAGAGGGCCCTGAGTCCACCAGTGAGCCTGGCCACGGGGGGGGAGAGGGCCCTGAGTCCACCAGTGAGCCTGGCCACGGGGGGGAGAGGGCCCTGAGTCCACCGGTGAGCCTGGCCACGGGGGGGGAGAGGACCCTGAGTCCACCGGTGAGCCTGGCCACAGGGGTCACTCAGCGGAAGTCACATACGGCTTGCTTTCTCGTGTGATCCAGAGACAAAATGCCATCCGGAAATGTGTAAATGTTAGTGGTGTTCCTATGGTTAAGGGGTTTAAAATATGATGGTGTGACTTTAATTGATAGTCCAGTTTCTAGCAAAGCCAATCCATGATATTATGGAATTAATCAATAGTCAATGACTTAAGTCAGTCGGGCATAGTTTGGATCGGATTGTAGACTAATAACACTTTGCTGCAATAATAAACGAGTGATGATAATACTATGCTCGCAGATAGACAAGAATAATATAATAGATCAAGAGTAGAAATTCACCAATTAACGAAGATAATTGAAAATTGGAAATCCATTGCAGGGCGAATATTTACCTTGAATGTGCTGCATGGTGCAGGTTGGCCACCTCGCCTGCATCGATTTACAAACCGGAATGGATTCGCGAGAAAGAGCGCGCGTGGGATTGGGCGTCCACGAATCGGTCGCAGCGTTCACGAGCCACGCTAATTACAGAGTCAAACTGCCGCTACGTTGAGGGGAGAGAAAATTAAGGGGAAATGAGTAGTTATAGAAGGAGAAATTAGACAGTGAAAAGGAGTAAGTACGAATAACTTAATCAATGCGCCATCCAAAATCTTTAATAATAATTTAATAACGTTGTTTGTATTGCTGCGTGTTCACAGTAATTTTATAAAGTATAAAGAATCGGTTGCAAGCTGAGATGAGGTAAAAAATACTGTTTGCTATTCTATAAGCACT